TCCTACTGTGGGGCAACGTTGTCCGGTAAAAGCTAGTTTTTATAATAATCTTAGAATTAGCTATAGCTATTTTTGTTTTATTTTTTATTTGAACAAAAAAGAGGTGTTGACACACAGCTTTTAGAGCAACAGAATCTCAGAAGGCATAGATATACTATATGTATTGTACCTCCAAAGTCAATGAAATTTGACGAAATGAAAACAATCAAAGGCTTCAGTTTTAATCAGTACGAAAGGTGACTCAGATCTATTCCATATCACTAAAGAAAGTGTAACTTGTATACTAATGAAACCGTCAAAAAATAATCAACTAGCTACATATTTATTTTTTGAACATCAGCCTCAAAAGTGTACAATAATTTATTCAGTTGCGCCAAGATTAAAGTTTTAATCAAGTAAGTGCAACATTCAAATTAACGTGAGCTTGCAAGTTGTCATCGTAACCGGGGATTAATCTTATGTTATTTAAATTAAATCTCCGCTGAGGTGATTAAGATTACCGATAGTGTCACATCTCTACCGTATTAGGATCAAAGGGGCCGCTGTACTTGTGTTAGTGATGGGCGTTTATTTTTTTTGCTTGTCGATGAATTCAAATGTCTCAGAAATAGTACTATTGGTTGGTAAGTATTTTTTTTATATTTGATAGGTACTTGACGCCAATATTTTGCCTAGTGGTAAGCGATGATGTGGCCGATGAATTATTATTTTAGATTAGAATTAAGATATTATAGTCTATTAATAAAGATCAGTACTTACATAGTCTTTTTGTCTTGATTTTAATTTAGAAGTGTAGAACGTGTGAATATTGTATCTATGTTAATGGCTCAATATAAATTTGATTTTAGCACATTGAAGTACTTTTACTTAATATACTTTAATAATTATTTTTTTACGAGGAACTGACTAAAAATACAGCTGCTATGAAAAACGTTTTAGTACTTATTCTTGTTACTGTACTTGCTAATGCCAATGTACTGTACGTACTGATTCGGCTTACCAATCGGAACACAATTACATAATCATTTATCGATGACGATAACAATCTATACTCATCCCATCACTAAGTCACACTAGTGATGTTGTCAAAGCTCAACGCTGTCAGTTTACCTCGTAATTTGTCAATCTGTGCAGCATCGAGTGTGTCGGAGTGAAGTGACAGGGAGTTCTATATAATCTGTCTTCATCTGTCGAAATACCAAATGTGAGTTAAAGTTCAAGTTGTAGTACTTTGTCTTTGAACTTATATAATAATACTAGCGGCTTCCACGCGGTTTTATCCGCTCTGCTCGGCGCCTATTGATCATAGCGTGATGTTGTATAGCATTTCGCCTTCCTCGATAAATGGGCTATCCAACACTAATAGAATTTTCCAAATTGGACCGCAATATAGTTCTTGAGGTTAGCGCGTTAGCCCCGGGCAAGGGGTCTCGGGTTTGATTTCCGGGTCGGGCAAAGTATTACTAGGTTATTTTAAAAAAAGCTCAGTAGTAGCATGTAGTCTGGAAATGTGCCCGTTATATGGCAATTTTTGGCATCATTATTTGTTTTACTTGGGGACTCCAATAATATCATAACTAGTCATGTGGGTCATACTATAAAAGTAGGCCTAAATTAAAAAAAAATCATGAGAATTTTGACTTATTTTGAACGAAGATTGTGTGAAATGAAAAAAAAAACTGAGATGACATCGGCGCGGCATTTCGATAAAAAAACAAAAGCCTTGTCGAACAAGAGGTAGTCGGAGACCCACTTGTATAAACCAGTTTGAAATAAAAATCCATTTTTTAAGGAACCTGATGACACCGACTCAAAAATATATGTAAAAAGTATTTTGTTAAAAATACAGTAATACAAAATGAAATACTTACATATTTATTTATATTATACAATTTTGCAATACGCAATAATTTACAATGTTATCGAAATCGATATTGAATATCGATATAAATAACGGCTGATATGGTCAAAAATCGATTGAGTTCACAATCGGGGCCGATGATAAAATACGTTTAATTACACCACTAGTCGCTACTGATATATTTGTTATATGTACTGTTACTCTTAAAACACGTACAAACACATAAATTTTGCATTATCAAATAAGGTACTTGAATCTGTCAAAGGTTTGGAAACTTGGGGCCAATGTAAGTGGTGAATATAATATATTTTTTTCTTTTGAAAGCGTTGCCCCACACTAGACTTTTCTCCTGTGTTGAGGGTGCGTTTACAAACATACAATATCACATACATATGACACCCAGAGCAGAAACAACAATTTGTAGATCATACAAAGAGTTGGTCCGTGCGGGAATCCAACCTGGCACACGTTGCGTGGCAGCTGGTTGCCCGGCAACCGCACCAACCATGCAGTCGAATATTAGCATACTAGGGGTTGCCTGTGGCTCCGCCAGTGTTCTCGGTGGATAAAAAGTCTATAGTAGCCTATGTTCTAATCCAGACCATTATTTACTCCTTTTCCAAATTAAATACCGATCCCTTCAGCGGTTTCGTCGTGTTGAGTAACAAACATACATAGATACAAACACAAACATTCGCATCTATAATATTATTAGATTAGATTATTTTAAACGCGTTATTTTAAACTCCAAACTACCCTCGGGAGCCAGCAGACCACCTCCGGTGGTGCCCAATAGGGCTGATGCCAACAAGCGAAAGACTTAACGGGTTACCGGGGCTCCGGCTCGAAGTCCAGTAGTAGGAACGGGATGGTTTTTAGTCAGTAAGAGTCTGACACTCACTCTCGCCTCACCCAGACGGAAGAAGGCATTCCAGTCCCCCTAGCTCCGTATCATGGCCTGCACTAGGCCCGGACGCGAGAGGTCGCCATCGCCGATCACTTCTCTGAGGGCACGGCGGTGCTCAGCCCACGCAGGGCATTCCGCTACAGTTCATCAGACACAGGTACCTCCCGAAACTACCATGTCCGGTGAGGACCTGCGTCAGGCGGTAGGTGAGGACGATACCACGAATAGAGGAAAGTGCGCGTCACGGCAGAAGACGCGCTGGGCCCGCAGACTCGAGTAGCCAGTAGCAGCGCGACAGTCGCCACGTCGCGGGTCGCGAAATACTGCTCATGAATATGAGCCTCTAGCATGGCTTGAAACTAGTCGAGTTCCTCGTCAAATTACTACGTGAGTAAACCGAAAACATAATAATTTATTTAGTAAGTATGTCTCACGAAACTTACAATACAGGTATGAGCCTCCACAATTACAGACTCGAGAATGTCTCTAATTCTCCGAAGCAACACAAGCGACCTCAAAGCTAAACATTAAAATATACACCACCTCCGACTGCACCGACGAACTATAAAACTATAATCTTTCATGTCATAGACAGACAGACAGCTAGACAGCTCTGTAACATGGTAAAACATTAATTAATTTCTCAACAATTACGATTATAATGGAGTTGTAATAAGCAGAGCCGCGGGCAAATCATTGTTTAGTAATTTTGTTAAGGGGAAAAATGGATTGGGTTTGATTGGCAATGGATGACTTACGACAAATAATCATTTTTTTCTTTATAACATAGATGGTAATCCAAAATCTGTGACTAAGTTGACTTAGGTTTTTGACAAAACTCTGACTGTCGAAAAACATATCCATCATTGATTTACGATTTAGTAATTTAGGGTGAGAAGCTTATAACCTAAAGATCTTTGGAGCTAGGTACTGTAGGTAGGATCTGCGACAGTAGCTTTAGCCATAGCAATTTTTTCCTTACTCAACATTAATGATAAACTTTCAAAAGCCAAGACGATATTAATTAAAACCAATATGGCCTAAAAGATTACTTAGATACTAGTCCCATCAACACACTGCCTCGTTGACCGAGTGGTCGCAATTGCGAATGCCGGGCAAGGGGTCTCGGGTTCGATTCCCGGGTTGGGCAAAGGATTACAGGTTTTTTTTTTAATTCTCAGTGTCTGGAACTGGAATGGAGTCTGGAACTGTGTCCGGTATATGGCAGTGTTACATTGTACAGTGGTATAATGTGCACCTCTGCCTACCTCTTAGAGGAAAAAAGGCGTGATGTTATGTTATGTTATGTTATCAATACACTGAACTCAAATTATGTCATACACAAAACATAAAATTTCGTACAAAAACGTAACATGCAGAGTCATGAACAATCCCTATACGAACACATAATAAAGTATATATTAAACCAAAGTGAAAGTATATTTGGAGAGCTCTCAATGAGACGAGTCTGTAAGTCAATCTGTACATCTTTGTCGTCGCTCGATGTTTATTCGAACCGGTTACGTCATCGTTATTGACTTTTGGAAAATTAAAAGATGAATCTTTAAAAGAAATTGTTGGTAATTTCGGTCGGTTCATTAAAATTCTCGTCTCATCTCATCTCATAACTTCACGCCTTTTTATCTGTTATCTTCAAAGGGCTAGGCAGAGGTGCATTACGGCACTTAATGCCACTGTACAATGTAACACCCACTTTTCACTATTTATGTTATGAGTCCCATGTAATAGTGGGTGAGCCTATTGCCATATACCAGGCACAATTCCAGACTCCGTGCTACTACTGAGAATTTTTTAAAAACCCAGTAATACTTTGCCCGACCTGGGCATCGAACCTGAGACCCCTTGCTCAGCAGTCGCACTTGCAACCACTCGGTCACATGTTTTTTTAAAAATAACTTTTCTCAGTATATTCAAGTAAGGAACCCGCGATTTATAGTTAAACATGTCCAATTTTTTCCTTGTCCAGAAAGCCACGATTTTATTTCTATCGAACACTTTATAAAGAAATTATTACATACAGTTACGAAACAAGGTGGTCTCCTTACCACAGATAAAGAAAAATAAGATGCTCCAAATCTTAAAAAAAAATAAGGTGCTTATATATTTTAATACATATTACAAGAACTTTTAAGGTTCAAGAGCTTTCAAGCTAGTTCGTTTAGATGTTCGCTCTAACCCCCGCAGTACTCACACTGTGACAGAACACGGCGCGCGCGCCTCTATCAACACTTAGATCACGACGCGACATACAAAGTGATAGTGAAAAAAAATCGACCCGAGACTAATCGGAATATCGGATATTCCGAATAAATCGATATTTTTTTTCGATTTGTGAGAATTCGTAAATTAGTAAAAAGAAATAGTGGTGCGACGTGTTTTTTTTTGTTGTGTTGTGAAAAAAGTGAGATTTTTTTTATTGTTTTTTAAGGAGAATTTGTTGTGACATTCTTATGTTTCGATTGCTGTCTAAACTTTTACCGTGATTTTTAGTAAAAATAGCTTTTATATGCTTGCTGTAGTTTCGAACATAATTTTCATTAATTTAAATTCGACATACCAATATTACATTTTTAGGCAATCATAAAACCGTACCTAAAGGTATTCAAACGATATTTCAAATTTCAAACGAGTTATTCAATACGTTGGTATTGTAAAGAAATGAAAAGTACATTTTATGAGGAGAGTGGGGAACTAACTCTTTATTATAACATAATTAGAAAAAAAAAAACGTAGCGTAGTGTGAGACTTTCATATATTTATGTATAATTTGGTACAGGATATTTTTGTAACTCAGTAACCAAATAGGGCAATAGTCTTCATTACATTCAGTTATTCTGTATTAAATGGCATGCAGCGCAAAGAATAGCAAAGTCAATTCTAGCACTAGACAAATATTTGTTTGATCTCCCGATATATTTATTTGAAAAATTTAATTTAAATTTATTTTGTTTATACACACATCCATTATACAAATGGAAATCTTTAGATAATTCAATGTCCAATTTTATTAAAAAGCTTTCATTCGTTAACAACTCGCGAGATTACTTTAAAAGATATAAAATTATATTTAAATAGTTAAAAAAATATGTAGTATACAAGTGTATAGTGAAATCCACGTGATTAAAAACGTATAGTGACAAAAATAAATACAAAACTAGTTTGATGAGTACAACGATTCTATTCACCCACGACTTATTGTACCTATTATTTAAATGACATAATTTTATAACACATTTTTGTATAAATTTAAATTTAAATTAATTCTGTCATTAAAATTTATAAACAGTTCAAAATCTCAGTAGTAGCACGGAGGCCGGTATACACTGGGCATAATTCCAGACTCCGTGTCATAGACTCACCCCCTATTACATAGGACTCGTAACATAAATAGTGAAAAGTGGGTGTTACATTGTACAGTGGCATTAAGTGCAGCAATGTGTTAACGATATTTTATAGTACACTACGGGACTAAGGGGCTGGTCAAATTAAAAGGGCATTGCTAAAATCCTAACATTTAATAGGCAGTTTAAAGGTGAAGGGCGTCCTTTTTTAAAGGCTGGCAACGCACCTGTGACTTCTCTGGGGTTGCGGGTGTCCATGGACGTCGCTGGTTGCTTACCATCAGGACCCTGCTGCTCGTTTATCTCCTATTCCATAGAAATTGTTCAGATTAATTACTGAGCGCCGCTGCCTGCGGTTTCTACCAAATGTGCAGTAAGTAAGTGGAAGTTCTACGACTCCATTGTCCTAATATAGCACAACTAAATTTCAACGAAATCGGCGCATGAGTTCAGACGGCACGCGCTAACAAACATACTAACATTGGCCAGCGTGGAATGTTTACGCAAATTACTGTTAGACAGGTTGACTGGTTACATCTTAATGTTTACGTGGGCGGGGATTTCGGTGTGTTTAGCGAAATCTTATCTACACATCGTCACATAGAGTTGATTTTGCAGGAGCATTAACTGAATAAAAAGAAGTGGAATGGCGTTAGAGTAGAATACATTCGAAACATCCCCTACTCTTACTGGAGTGTCAGAGGACTACTCCTGTAAATAATTACTCACACGTGTGGCGACACATGTCACTTGAGCTATCAATGAAACAAATCAACGGATGACGTCACAAAATCCTACATCGCACATGTGAAGTTTACATGCGAATTAACACGGATAGAACATCCCAACGAACAATAAAATTGTTGGGCAGAAAGCCCGCCAGGTACGATCACCTCGCCTTTCGATCGATCACTTTACCCACTGTTCCCTAAATACCGTAAATCAGAGATAGGACTGCAGTAATCTTTGAATCTTAATCGCAGTTTAAATTAATCAGGTTTATCAAAAAACAATGCCCTCTGGTTTCTTTTAAATATTTATTTATTTATTTAATTTATTTATTTATTTATTTATTTATAAGCACATGTATAATTTTACAGCACAAGCCAAAACATTATACAGTTAAACAATAAAAAAAATGTTACTTATTTACTATTTTACACTTACGTAACAGGTATCTTATAAAAAATATGTATGACGTATGATGAAGAGTAGGGATGAGGAAAAATGCGCTCTTTTCTACCATACGGCTAATGTTTTACATAAATAAATATTATTCAAAACGCATAGATTAACCATTTGAACCGAGTTAACACACCGGTATCATCAATCCACAATTAATCAACATTTGAATAAGATTAACATAACCAGCCCAGCAGTGAGCACACGCTGGGACCAGCCAATAATAAATTATTACCTATTTGTGTTACGTTTCATTAAAATACAATACGAAGATGAAATATGTATTGTATTAGTTAAATATTTTTTCTACTGGACTAAGTAATGAATCAATATGTTCGTTGGTGTCGGTTACAGGTCGAATTTATTCCGAAACTTTGTCAGCGAACGGTGCGTTATATTAGATTTGATTGTTTGTATAATATGGGCTTCAAAACTACTGAATGATTAAAAAATGCCTAACCATAACTCAATTTTTAGGAAGTTTACATTATATCTCAATATTCCGATAGTTAAAGATATAACTTAAAATTCCACGTAGGGGAAATCGTAATTTTGGAAAAATAAAAAAAGAAACGTATCTGCATTGTATAGTAGTTAGTGGACGATCGACTAACTACTATACCAACTGTACGTATAGACAAAGTATCGAAAATATGAGAAAGTCTAATTTTTATTAACAGGAAAAAGATGTTCTATCTCTTCAAGGATTAAGAAAGAATCATCTCACGCAATACCCTACATTCCATCTCTATTGTTCATAAACAAATGAGAGAGACAACAATAGCCTTAACGGGGATTAAAATCAAGTTGCGTTTGCGCATCGAAGCGTATCATAAGCTCCTTGAATATGTCTAACAACAGGAAACACAGATCTAAGCCATAGACAACTTTCTCTGTTCAATGTTTGTGTAAGCAAGCGAAAGGATTAACCAAATAAATTAATTAAATCTGTCCCCTGAGCTGTCAATGTCAGTTTGACAGTTGGCTGACAAATTACGCGCCAAAGCTTACGTCAAATGCGTAAGGAGGTGTTATTGCGGAATAGTGATGGGATGTTACAGATTTTTTTATAGATAGTGTAAGCTCTAATTATTGTTAGGCTTTTTTACGGGATAAGCCGGTAAAGGAGTAGACGGATCACCTGATGGTAAGCAATCGGCGTCGCCTATGGACACCTGGAACAATAGAGGCGTTAGAAGTGCGTTATTATCGGCCTATTGGGGATTAGGAATTTGAGAATTGTTAGAGAATCAGGTATTGGGGAAGGGGGTAATTGGGCCTTGAAACTTGACCTGCATCAACATACGAGTTCAATACCAATTTGATTGAATAATAATAAACGTATTACCAGATACTAGACTACAGAACGCTAACACACTGCCCACTGAATGTAAGGAGGTATGCAAGGAGTGGCCAAACAAACTTTCACTAAATTCGCAAACTTGATTAATTCTAATTTATTACACTTTGATGACTGTGATCTTGGGGTTCCGTTGTCATTTTAATAGTATTTCAAAAACTATACAACTGAAATATAACATGGTTCTTTTGTTATATTTTTGGGAGAAAATTATCGAAATGACTGCTTCCGCCTTAGATTAGGCGAGAAAGAGTGTCAGATTATGACTGACTAAAAACCACCCCGTTCCTACTCCTGCACTTCGAGCCGGAGTCCCGATATCTATCAGAGCAGATTATGTCTATTTGTCACCACCCTAACTCTTCTCCCGGGTGTAAGAGTCGATTAATGGACATTTGACAAGGGACTGGCTCCAATCCACCTGCCTAGGAGATTATGAGGAGGTCCATACTTCAGTAGTGGACTATGTTGATGATGATGTACCAACTAGATTTTTTTATGGAATAGGAGGCAAACGAGTAGACGGATCATCTGATGGTAAGCAATCAGCGCCTCCCATGGACGCTGGATCCAACTTACTTATTGGTATAGATTTTTATTGTAGTTGAAGAATTTAAGTGAACAATACTCTTCTTTAAGATCTCTGCGGAACCATTACAACCAAAATAATCGAAATAATTCAATTAGCGAGCAGTGACGCGGCGCCGGCGACGTATCAATCACTTGAATTATAACGATATGATTGTATGTAATGTATGTAGCTACGAATGAATCAGATAATCAACTGAGTAGGCACTTACACTGCAAGATTAATCGATTTCCTCGCTAATTCTCACCACAACCTAAAATACACCTTCGTATCATAACAATATGAGTGAATTTAGAAGTAAAATTGATTTACATTTTTAGACAGGTGATTCTGTAATAGGAGCACTGACTCAATTATTGCTAAAAAATGAGTTTTGCGAGCCTTTGTTGCACCCTGAGGCTAGGTTCCGAGGTTAAGGCGTGGTAGTTGCGGTTATAATATGGATGGGTGACCTGGTCATTGATAAATAGTACTATATTACATCACATTCAATTTTTAAGAAAGTTATCGAAGTCCCAACTAATTTTCCTTATAAACAGCTTCCTTGTAACAAAGCGGAATGATGTGAAAAAATGCCATAGACCCAATAATATATAGACATGGCGTCTAACGGCAAAACTCCGGAGATTTTGACCAATTTCGAAATTGTTGATTTGGACAAAAGTGGAGACGAGGATGTCGTCAAGAATGGACAGTTGGTGTTGTCTTCAGCCAATGGACAGTTTGACGGGAACTGCCTTGGGGTCCCCAGGACGGGACACAGGCCGTCCATTATGGAGGTGGAATGTGCTAAGGAGAGAACGAGATTGGCTCTGTTGAAGCAGTGTTCCGCCATATTGAAACAAGGAGACCAGAAGTATACGAAGGAGAGCCTGCATCGAACGTTTCAGGACGAGGTAAGTTTTATTTCATTGTTAGTATATTGAGCTGCAAAATGTACCTTTTCAAGATTGTAAAATGTTATTGCCTAATAGGTGTTGTAATTTAATACTTATCTGGCTTTTCAGAGAAGTATTGTCGAAACAATTGGATAGATGACTACATAATTTTTATTTTAATGTCCGTCTGGTAGATGCATATAAAATATTATACACGTATTTTTTTACAGAAACGAATACTCTCGACGATATATTGACTTGAAATATCGTGTGACGTCACTTCTATGTATATTTTATACGTAGAAATGACGTTTTAGCTCCCATTCCTAAACTTTGATTCGTCATATCTAAGTATCATTTTATTATACATCAAAATAAAAAAAATACGTGTCTAATATTTTTTTATCACCTAACTGACGGACTGATTAGATTTTTAATTTTCATACCCTGTCATCATCCCTATTAAAGTGGTAAACTGTAAGCATGTCGCGGAGAACCTAACGGGTTACCGGGGCTTCGGCTTGACTCGAAAAAAACTGTAACCATCGATACTCGATATCCACACGAAACAAACGTAGAAGACAAAATTAAATGTATTCTATTGTGTCTTTTGAAGTATCACATAATATTGAGTGTCCTGTTTCTGGGCATACTCAATGAAGGTTTTTATTTCACTTCAACCAACTTAACCAATTATCCTATAAAAACCAACCATCATACAGTATTGCCTTCTCTGCGCGTTCTATTCTAGGTAATGGATCTCGTGTGGTTTATTTTTTTTAATTAAAGCGAAGTCTGACCACAGGTAACTAAACTTTTTGCGTCCATTAGTGAAACATAAGCCTCGATATAATCAGCGCACTCTAAGTAGGTGTTATAAAAAGAAAATAATTGTAATTATATAGAACAAAAAAACAAAGGCATTACAATTGAATTAACTTGACGGTTTAAGGTACTCTAGTGACGTACACACGGCACATCAAGTTATAAAAACCAGTTAATCATGGCCTCGCTTTGAATGAGCTTTCCGTGCATTCAACGGTCAGTTTATACTGGTGTTGTGTAGCTTGATATGTATCTAGTGCTATTAAACTTGCCCAACACAGTTATAGGTTAACCTTCGTTTTGCTCATCGAATATCGCGCAAGGTCGCCACATCACTGTCTGTCACTGTATAACCATGTGGGCAGAAGGTTTAGTATTAACAAAGTGTATAAAACTCTCTAATTAGTTATTTTTAGGAACCTCTTTTGCCTAGTGGCAAGTAAGTGCGACTGCCAGGCAAGGGGTCTCGGGTTTGATTCCCGGGTCGGGCAAAGTAAAAATGGGTTTTTAAAAAAATCTCGCACGGTGTCTGGAATTGTGTCCGGTATATAGTAATAGGGGATTACATGGGACTCATAACGTAAATAGTGAAAAGTGGGTGTTACATTACATGGTGCAGTGGCATTAAGAACCGTATTGTGCACCTCTGTTTTTTTAGTAAACGACATTTTCTGAAAATGGAACCTACCTAGATCGATCTATCGCCCCCGAAACCCCAAGTTGCAAATTATAAAATCATTGGAGCCGTTTCCGAGATCGTCGATACACAGATGTACTGAAGTTGCTCCTTTAAAGATATTAGATAGATGTAGGTAGTGTCGACTGACTAAATTATCACTTATCATTGTTTTTATAGTTATTTATTTACTCAGCCAACCAGCGTGGGACAGTAATTATTTTAGATATTAATAAGATACTTCTTACAAACCCATGACTTAAGTTTTAAGTTTAAGGTGTAGGTATGTAAAATACCTTTACAAAACTTTAAACCAAATTTTTTCAATTCAGTTCAAAGTTATCTTTCTGTGCACCTTCTATAAAACCTCCACAGCATCATTACACACAAATTAAAACCTCGTTAAGGTACGAAATGTGAAGATTTTGCACGCACTAGTGTAGTCGTGACCTTATGGCTTAATGCTTTGAAAGCCCCAAAGAGGATGTATAGTGGGGCCATGAAACACGCGGGTCGTTGTTCGAAGTGATACGTAGTGTTTTGTTTCACTCTCATTGTCCCATCGAATAAATGGTAGATTGCAAAAATTATGTATTGTATGAACAAGGTCTATATAAAATGTACACTCGAATAGTTTTTACGTTGTTTGAGAGTATTGTGTTTAAGTTACGAAATATTTAATGCGATTGAAAACAAAAGTCAATTCAATTCAAATATTGCAATAGTGTTTTTAATTGTTTAATTTTGTAATAGAAACAAAAATAAGTATCTTTGTTATAAATTTATTCATAACTAGCTTCTGCCAGCGGTTTCACCCGTGTTCCCGTAGGATAAAAGTGGTCTATGTGTATTTTCAGATCGTAGCCTACCCCTGTTCCAAATTTCATCTCGATCCCTTCAGCCGTTTTGGCGTGAAAGAGTAACAAACACACAGACACACACACACACAGACATTCTAACAAACGTTCGCATTTATAATATTAGTGTGAAGTAAGATAGAATACAATATTCAGTAATTATACATTTAATATAGGTTTTTATATATTAGATGGCCCGACGTTTGCCCACTATCTCGCCTGGTGGTAAGCGATGATGCGGCCTACGATGGAGCACGTCGTCCCATAAGCAACCTATTCACTCGGGCCTTGAAGACACCAAAGTTATAAATACCCTTCAGGAAATACAGACTCTGGCAAAGAATTCCACTCCTTAGCAGTACAAGGAAGCTTGATACAAAAATAGCAACATGTAGGTACTTAACTTTTGTACTGTGTTATAAGAAAATTAATTATGTCCCTTAAAATAGAAATCCGCTAGTTTCTAAGCCACATTACCAAAAACATCATCAATACATCATTTCATATATTTTTTTACTACACTACACTAACTAAATACGACCATAAGTCAATTAAATTATATTTGAAGTCAATGTTAACGATTTCGACTGTAGTTTGGTGCCCACTTATGTCATTGTAATTAAATAAGGGCCTGTCAGTTAGTTTACTGACGCCTCTCACGGTCAAACCGGACGGTAGTGATGTAGTGATGGGCTGGTCGGTAAAAAAATCATAGGTTATTATAGTTACTGTTATAGCTACAAAAGATATAAGAAATATTTGATAGAACAAAAAAATAGAACAAAATGAAAACGTTTTATTTATTGGATCACCTGATGGTAAGCAATCGGCGTCGCTCATGGACACCCGGAACACCAGAGGCATTACAAATGCCGTTACCGGCCTTTTAGGGATTAGGAATTTAAGGATTGTGTTGGAATTCAGGGTTTGAGGAGATTGGGCTTCTGGCACGACGATACCAGGCGAAATGGTGGCCAAATGTGAACGTATCAAGAATAAAAAAACACAATGTAAGCGTTGTTTCACGTCGGTTTTCTGTGAGACCGTGGTATCACTCCAGTCGAGCTGCCGAAGCATGGTTCTCCCACACTCACTGTTGTTGAGTTTTTTGGGGTGTAGCAATAAAGAAAATAAAATATATTATCATATGTTTATATTAACTAGCTTTTACCCGCGGCTTCGCTCGCGTCACAAAAGGATAAAAGTAGCCTATGTGACATATACCAATACACACAGCGGCATCTATACCAATTCTTTTGTTTTCCCTCGGGAATATCAAATTTTTCCAAAATAAAAAGTACCCTATTATTTAATCCGGACTTCTAACTTTACGTCTGCAAAAATTCAAAGCAATCGGTTTAGTAGTTACGGCGTAAAAGCGGAACAAACAAACAAACTCGCTTTCTGATTTATAATATTAGTAAAGATTTTCGAAATTTAATAATAAGTTTTAGCCATTTATTTAAGAAAATTATTAATTTTTATTTGTCATGCCTGGGGTAAACTTGAAATGGTATAAAATTAATAAGTACCTACAATAAATTTCTTACCGTTTAATGACAACGTCCCTAGAGAGTAAACAAGTCAACCACAAGAATTTTACCTTGTCCCATACATTAATTTCAATAGTCAATATTATATCTAGATGCTTCCGTTCAAACTGTGTTGTGTAAGAATTAAACTGTCAAACACCGCGAGGACACCGGTGACCGCAACCTATTGTTCTTTAACTCGTCGAGTACCGTCATTATAGACACAATTATACCTCTAGAACAATAGGTTGCGGTCACCGGTGACCGCTTGGTGTTTGACAGTTTAATTGTGTCTATAATAACAGTACTCAAAGGGTTAAGGTATAACTTCATTATTTTGCTCTTTCTCATATTATATTGCGTTTCTATATTTTTCAATATGTTCATTAGAACCACTTATATTACAACTAGCTAAACCAGCAAATTGGTCTGCGTTTTTCTAAAATAAAATTATTCTGTTACTCCTTAGTGCATTAGCTTCCTGCCAATAAAAGTCCCATTAAAATCAGTCTAGCCATTTCAAAGACAAACAGACAGACAGACAGACATTGTAATAAGTGTTATTTTGGTATGTGCATCATAAGTATATTGTATATTCATATCCATGTAGTAAAATGCGGTTGTTCCAATATTACAACCAGACACTTCAATTTTATTTATCTGTTTAGAAGATCTAAGATCTGAGTGTGTAACTAAAGAAAGACTCAACACGATACTCACTAGTGAGTGCAAACAATAACTTCTGTGTTACTCAGAAATGGATTAATATCTCATAGAGTTTACTCTGTTTTTATCTGTGAATATCCTTTGTCAGTTTTCCTGGCCACACAGTACACATACATACATACATACATACATACATATATTTCACAAAATGTACTTGTTACGTTGCTCCTCGTAAAATTTTATTTCAATAGCACTATCTGGTTTTTTCGTAATTCTGTGATTTTGTCACAATCTTACTCTTACCGCTTAAAAATAAATATCCACGCGAATTTATTCTTTATTCGAAGGCGGTAAGATTTGTTTACATTTTCCGCGATTGTAGATTTAAGTTGGCTAATGAATTTGTTTATCCTTCCGATTTAAAAGTGTTTTTTATTGGAATTGCGACCTTTTGTCGATTCA